GCTCCCCGCGCCGCCTGCGCGCTCCGGCTCCCCCGGCCGCCGCTCCTCGCTCTCCGCGCCTCTCCTCTCGCCCGCTCGCTCGCCGTCCGTCTTCTGCCGGCGGCCGCGTCCCCTCCCGCGCCGTGCGAAGCGCCCCCCGGTCCACTCGCGCGTTTCGGGGTGCCGGGAGGTAAGTGGTGGTGGGGGGCGCGGATCTCGGGGCCGCGGAGCCGGAGCCCGCGGCTCGCAGCCGTTGCCGCCGCCCGCCGGCCGCGGAGAGCGCCGCCGGAGCTGGAGGGAGGCGGTCCCCGCCTAGGGCATCGCCGCCCGCGTCCTCGGCTTCGCCTGCGCCCCCGGACCCGGAGCCCCTTCTCCGTCTGCCCACGCGGAAGCCGGGAAGCTGGAGAGCCGCAGGCTGCTCCGCCGTCGTTACTTTTTGTTGTAACTTCAGACTTCTCAACACTCCTCACCCTCCCCCCCACCCCACCCTACATCGGCTGGGGGGGGGGGGCAGATTTTTAAGGGCTTCGGGGTGGGTTTTTTCTCCCCCCCTTAGGTGACACCAAAAAAAGTGGGTGACAGGAGGGCTTGTCCAAACAGTTTCAGAAACTCGAGTGGATGTCTCGACACTTTTTCTTATATATTCATTTTTGTCATTCCTGGAGAATAAGGACGGATTGCTTTTTTTTTTTTTTTTTAAGAACTAAAAAAAAAAATGACAGCTTGGTAATTAAAAAATATTTGAAGTTGAAAAAGGGGCTCGGGGGGGGGGGGGAAATAAACAGTGGTTATCCGTGCATTTTCAATCTTTGATTAAGTCCAGTCTCCGTCTAGTGTCTTAACTTTCTTCCTCGCCGCTCCCCTCTTTGCGGGGGGCAGGGGTAAAAATAAAAAGTTATTTTAAAAAAAGCTTTAGTAATTATTTATTTATGTATTTGTTTCCCGGCCTGGAGGAGGGAGGGAGGGGAAGAGGCGATTTTGGAATCCCCAAAAGGTTGTGGTCGAGAGGGTGAAGGAGTGTTGGGGGGCTGGGGGTGGGGAGCGGCAGCTTTTACCTAAAATGTGGTTTTTGGAGGCTGGGATTTCTAATGATTAGGTTTTTGTGGTTTATATAGACACGATTCAAGTTAAGGCGATCATTACGCTGATGGGAGTCAGAAGCACGTGGGTGTCTCCGACCAGCCTCGAATTCTGAGCCTTCAAAACAAATCAAACAATGTGCGTCGCCCACAGAGGCCGGGAAATCCGCTGGAGGCTACACCCCGAGAACCAGGCAGGAGCGACATCGGGCGGGTCACCTCTCCTGTGATGTTCTGTGCCGTGCTTAGCTGACTGTTTCATAACTCCCAAAGCTTCCAAATGGAATCATTTGCCATCCCTAACAAAGTAGTTGACACAGTCGTGATTTCGTGAAATTAATAAAATTTGGATTCCACCCGCCCCCCTCCCCCAACCCCGCGCGCCAGTGCGCCTTGGAGGACTGAGGGAGAGAAATAGCTGGGTAACACATCTCCCACCTCTTAGTTAAAGCTCTTCACACAGCCATTAATTGGTTAGTTGCAAATGCTGGAAGAGACCTGTCAAGACCCTCCCTGTCGGTTTTTAAAGCGCCCCTGCTACTCTCGGAGCCGGGCGCGCCCGCAGGGCCCAGGAAAGGTACCCACGGCACCAGAGGTTTGTTTGCGCCTCTGCTGGACTCAAGATCCCGCCGAGTGCAAGATAAGCGAGGACCTCTGTGCTCGGGTGGCCTAGGAACCTGTGTTTCCCGTGCCTGAGCGGTGCTCCGGGGGCTGAGGAGTGGACAGGGGTGGGAGTGAAACTGGGGACCACTACTGTGCCCTTCCTCTCTGTGTCATTAGTTCTCCTGCCCTTTCTGCTTGCTCTACTTATAATCACACACACCCCTCCCCTGCGTCGGTCTTTCTCTGTCTCTTGCTTGCTTTCCCCCCTCCGTGCCCCCCCCCCATTCTTCCCCGAATCCTCCCTTCACCTCCCAGTCTCTCGGTCTCCCTCTCCTGCCACCGCCGCCTGCTCCCTCCAAGCCACCGAAAAGCAATTCTATTCTGGCAGCTGTGACACCCGCTCCCCACCTTACTCCTCGCAGCTGGTGGCCTCCGTGCCCCTAAGCGCTCGGGTCCTGGGCCACTGAGGCCGCTTACCCCAACACACACTACAGGTGCAGCGGGCTGCTGAGCTGTCTCCTAATGCCACCTTTAATTACCATTTTGATCGCAGGGGAGAGCTCTAACCCCGAATACCGCCGCGTCGCTGTGCACACTAGTCTCCGCGGCCACAGAGGCCAGCTTAGAAAGGGAAGCAAGAAGCCAGGCTTCCTTCCCCTCTGAGAGAAAACTGCACCCACCGCCCACCGCCCACCTTCCTTACACACTCACTTGTATCCTCACACAGTCACACACTGACGTCATGCCACAATTACATGCATGGCTAAAGGTGGGACTGTTTTCTTGGGGGGGGGGGGGGAGGTAGCACAACCAAAAGACATGGCTTCTGTTTTCACTGCTCCTCTTTGTAAGTGTCTGGGGACTAGAGAAGAGGGGAGGAGTCACAGGAAATGGATTGTGTCTGCAGTCAAAGGGAGAGGTGATATTTAGTCCTCCTCCCAGGAAACCCATAGAACCTGGAACTTCCAGAAACTGAAACACAGTGAGAAACAGTCCATATTTCAAACAGGGGCTCTCAGAGTGGGGCTTTTTCCAACAAGAAATTCTAGGTTCGTTTGAATATAAGAAATTCTATCTTGGGGACTTTTCCTATTTTGCCACCATTGCTGTTTAGTTGCCACTACCTTTTTTCTTCCCTCCTTCCCTCCTTCCTTCCTTCCTCTTTCTTTCTTTCCTTCTTAATTTTTTTTAACTCGATGGATAATGAGACGTGCAGGCCTCAATAGTTGGGAATTTTAAGGGCAATTTAATCAATGGTGAGATTATTTATTTTAATTAATCATATCCGGTAATTCAGCTTTATAGCCTTTCACGGCATCCTCCCTCCATTAAACATTTCAGTAGAACTAATATAAGCAGCTCTTGGAAGCTCCCAGTCTTGGATCCCTTAAAATATCCTACAGTTATTTATAATGTGGAAATGAAATTTTCCACTGAATGCCCTAACAACGGCTCAGGTATCTGGCACGGTGGATTTCGCTCTGCTTTCAAAAACACTCGCAGAGCTCTCACACTCTAGGCTGGAACTGATGGAGCCTGGAACCGGTGAGGGCTTGGCTCTGAGCACTCAAATTCAAGTAGGAAACTTTTCCAACAGCCCCTTCACCCAAGCTTCCCCTAGCAGTAAATGCACAGGGAAGAAGGTCAGGCTCTTGCCTGTAAGTTTTTGCTGCTGTGAAATGCTTGCTCTTGCTCCACAGCTTAGATTTTCTTCTACATGAAAATATTCTAAGCAAAGGCTGACTGAGAACATGGCTCACTCGGTAAGAGCTCTCTGAAGGAGCATGAGGTCCTGAGCCCCACACATAACCCCCCACCCCAAAAAGATCAGAATAAGATGGTGTGTTTGAAATCTTGTGCTGGGAAGGCAAGACAGGTTAATCCCTAGGACTCGCTGGCTAGACAGACTCCCCTACTTAAGGGTCCCCAGGCCAGTGAGAGCCTGTCCCAAAAGACAAAGTGGACTGCACATGAGGAATCATACAAGGGGTTGACCTCTGGCATCCTACACACATACACACTTCCAAACCCACTGGATTCTCCTTCAGAAATATTCTTTTCAGTTGCGTGTCACAAGACACACACACATTTTTTTTCCTGAAGATTTGACTGCTCTAGAAGGTGCAAGCACAACCCCTCCCCTGTGTTCTTTAATGTTTAATATAACTGTTTAACGACAATACCTGGCAATTCTAACTCTCCAAGGAAAAGCTGATGTACTCAACTCCCAAACCAGGAACAGAATTCAGGCTTCTTTCACATTAGTTTCCCATCCTAACTCCTTCTACATTATTTTATATACTTTTTTCCATGATGAAAAGTGAAGAAAGCTCCTATAAAATCTTAAAATACTTTTCAATGAAC